TTCATTAGTGCATGAGGTAGAACAAAACATCTTTTGCATATTAAACCGGAGGAGTTACATTTATGGCTCACACACTGAACATGTCCCAGAGCGCTGCGTATTTCTGCTCACGAGTTTGCAAAAAACAACCAAAATGCACAAATAACTAAAACGTTTTCATTCAGACACAGACGCTGTGTTGGTCTGCTCTGCAGCTCACACAGCTTCACACCCTAGAATAAACGTCATCACGTTGTCAGCGTGAACTGTCACATGATTATCACTCACCCAATCACCTGCATTGACGTCATTTTCCCAGGAACTGTAGTTATTTGTAGTCTCAGTCTTTCGATTTTTTCTTGTGCTTTTTAGCAATAATACATTTAGACAAACGCGTCCTACACACATCACACACCCACTATAAACTCCCGACACACTCACACACCACTACGAACGTTTTGATGAATCGCGGACCCGCCAAACGATACACCCTCCTCGAGAATCAGTTGACACCAATTTCAGCACCGGATGATGTTTCAGTTTCAGTTTCTGTTTCCTCACGTGTAGATTCATGAAATATTCTTTATTATTAGTGAGAGAACAGGAAAACTATACTATATAAATGCTACACTGAAAAATTAATGACAAATAATCAGCATTATTATATTAGACTCTTGTTGATTATTATTTATGTTTTTGTTTTTGTTTCAGTCTATATAAATGAGTGTATCTCAGAAACTAATTTATGGAAACACTTCAAATAAATTTGTTGTTGTTTGAAAGGCTGGTAATGGAATACGTGGCTAATATTAGAGGATTTACGGTGTGTGAAGTAAATTCCATAAATCCTCTAATATTGGCCTGTTTTCCATAACCAGCCGGGTCTCCTACATTAGCCGGTATAGCGCTGTCCTCGGGGGTAAATGCAGGCCGGTCTCTAACAATGGCTGGCTTCACGGCACAAACCTAACCGCCGACATAAACCCAGTCGCAGTTTTGATAACTTTAAAGTACAATTGATCTTAAAATATTTTAATATATAGAGTACTGGAGTTTTGTAACTGTAGACTGAGATGTGTGTTTTGAGTTGTGATTTGAAACTTGTACATTAATTGTTTTCTGCAAGTTACGAAATGAAAGTTTCATGTTACATGTTACCAAATGTTACGTGTTACAAAACAACAGTTACGTGTTACAAAATAAGAATTACATGCTACAAAATGAAATTCACAGTTACAAAACATGTTACAGGTTACTAAGCTTGGTACAAGTTACATATGATGTTGTCCCAATTCTAGTTCCACACAAATGCAGCTACAAAAACTGCAGGTAAACTGTTTGATACTGTTTTCACGTGTTCTCACCAAAAATAGTTTGTACAGTGCTAATGTTTTTAGCAATTTTTTCAGTGTTGTAATGTGGAACTGCAGAGGATGAGGATGAGGATGAGGATTAAACAGTTGGAGGTATTTTTTAATGGTGCACCGATAGGAAATTTTGGGGCCGATATCGATATCCGATGTTAAGATCACTGTTGTGGCCGATAACCGATATTTGCCGATACCAATATGCTGACATTAATGCTTCTAAAATCAGCTGATTTTGTATAGAATTGAATTATTAAAGCTGAATTTACGTTATTATGTACACACAACACACACATCTGTGGTTCTGAGACGATTTCATTCACTGTTCACATGACTAAATAATTACGCATCACCCCCTCACCCTCTGAAACTGGCAAAAAAAAATGGAGATCAGATGGAAAAAATACCGGTCGTTAATATCGGCCCAGTTTTATTTATCAAATCAATACCGATATGTTAAAAAATGACTAACATCGGCCGATACCGATATTTATGCTGATGTATTGTCCATCCCCAATTTTTTTTATTTCAAACCAAACAAGACACGAATGGGTAAACTTTGGAGCGATAAGGTGTCTGTTGCCTTTTGTTATAAATCAGTAACCTAATTATCACCAAGTGATTACAATGCACTACCGGCATGTTTGCTACATTTGTTACCAAACCGGGATTTTGCCTGAAACAACGGTGTTTGTTGTAAACATTCTATATGCATACATACATACAATGTTAAATGTACGTTTTCAATAAACAAACCTAGTGTTTTATAGGTTCAAATATACACAAAATCTTGTATGTGTTCATTCTACTGGTAGTTTATTTTGCTCAAATTAAAATTTAGGCCTGCTTCTAATACTGGCCTCCTTCCAATAAAGGCCTGAACCTGGATGACCTTGAGTAAATAAAGGTCGGGATCTGTATTAAAGGATTTACTGTATGATTTCACAGTAATATTAGAACAATCTGGTGAACAAAGGTTCATTTAGTAATGTTGAAAAAGCATTTTTTTCAGCTGTTGGGGACTCATTTTTTACCGTTTAGTAATGTTGTTCTACCATCATTCTACAACAAGCCAGTACAGCAAGCCATTTCAACATTTAATTAAAAACACCTCTTTGTAATTCCTGTTCTACATAGCAATGACAACATTCGTCCTTATCCAAATAATTTTCTGACTGATGAAATGTGAAAAAATAATTAACAAGTAGAAAATATATTTAAGGATATTCACAACAACAACAACTGCACTAGTAGGAATTAAGCATCTTATTTCATAAAGGTTATCAACAGTTAAACCTTTTGGTCTTTTTACAGAAACTCAAACAGGCTATTAGGCAAATATAATTAAAAGTTCGGTTCACTGAAAAACCATTTTTAAATCGTATTTCTGATTATAATCAGTCACTCCAAGTTTTTCATGCAGGCTGAACATGAAATAGTCTCTTACAATATCTCCTGCATTAGCTTCTGATTTAACTGAAAACAGACGGTGAAACTGTCGGATTAGAAAAGCCTGACAGATCTACGTCACACTGTCACTAACATTCATGGATGGGTGCATCCTGACTCATAGCTGGGAAGGCTGTTGTTGGTTTAGCGTCCAGGTAACAACAGAGAATGTCTCAGCTAGTAGACGTCAACCGTTAGCATTAGCAACTCCACCACACAGCAGAACTCCTTCAGGCCTTTGTTATTTGTGGAGAAATAATTTCAAAGTTGAAAATGAATGTAAACATGGGTCATAAGTTTTGCTTTTGTTAATAGAATCAACTGTGGTGAAAAACTGGAGCGATGCAGAGCTCCATGAACTTCTCTCCATTAGAGCTGCAGCTCAGATCACCAGAGACTGCACGAGAACTGTGAGGGACAGACACCTTTAGGAGTGGCTCGTTGAAAACACCGTAATTATCATGGCTTAATGGAAGTCTGTGTTAGCGCAGAAACCACCCCATACCCCCATTTTTTTGTAAAAAGGACACGATTGCACCACATTACTGCCACATTCTCACCACTTGGCTCCCAGATGCCAGCTCAGCAATGCAGCTCTTTGGCTGCACTGTTTTCTTTTAAAAAAAAAGGCTTTGTTGAGCAGAGAACTTCTCACAGCAGTGGTGCTAAATACACAAGCGCATAATGAGTGGAAGACCCACAACCAAATGGTCCAATTGTTGCTCCTAGTTCAAGCGGTACGTTAGGTGGAGGTTTTTAGGCAGATGCGAGAGAACACCTTCATTAATTTTTTGTTTTTTCTTTTAAATATCCACAAAATATTTGTAGCTGCACTACGGAAGTTCTTAGGAGGTATGAAAAAATGCTTTAAGCTAGCATGTTTTGCAGATTTGCCTTTGTAGATTCGAGAAAAACCATTTTTTAAAGATCATGTCTGATCATAATCGATCATGTTTGTCATGCAGGCTGAACATGTAAATAGTCTCCTACACCTATCTGTTGCATTAGCTTCTGAGAGAAAATAGGTGTCTCAGCTTATTTATTTCTTGATCATCCCAATTCCCAAGCATGTTGTTTGTGTGTGTGTGCGTGCGTGCGTGCGTGCATGTGTGTGTGTGTGTGACTGAGAGAGTTAGAGCTACCATAATGACAGCCAATTAATTAAGCTCTTGGGGACTCGTTGAGGAGAACCTGGTGACTTGCAGGCTGTGTTAGTCAAGCGGCGTGGCAGCACTAGCATCGAGGGGCTCTCATACACTTTAAAGGTGACTGTGAGCTCGCATTTGTTGTTTGTCTCCTCTGCCATGCTGTCATTCCTCCCTCACCCATGGGGGCCCAGCATGAAACAGCCTCATGACTTAAGCAACTGTTGGCAGCTTTGAGAGCAGCCATAGAGGCTGAGAGTGTCGAACTTTCAACAAAGCTTTTAACAAGCACAACAGTGAGCAGTGCTAACAGCTCCTTTAAGGACAACAGCAGTTTACCTGCTGAAAGCACACAAACAGACATATTTATTATAGTTGATGTATTGCTGAGCCCAAAGGGAAGAGAGGAAGCTTTTAGATAAAGCTTATGTTTTGCTGTATTCACTGTGAAGTGGGCCATGCAGCAAAAACACAACTAAATGGTATTTTTCCACAACCAGATTCATCCTGATTCATCAGGAGGACACACAATACACGTTTAGAATATTGGGCTCACTGTCAAATTTCACAAAATATATAAGGTAAACTATAATTTTGTATATTTTACATATGTGCATTTATATGTGGTTATTTTTCTTTTTTGAATATTCAATCAAAGGCACACAAAAAGGTTTTCATTCAAAACCCACGGCTGATTGTAGACGAATGGCCACCAGTTTCAAGGGAAGAAAGGGCCTCAATAAATAAAGAAATATCTTTGTATTATTCAGTCATTTGGATCTGAAACAAGTACAGAGATAAACTACTAAAAATGTGTAAAACTGAAAAAAACATTTTTTTGGATCTTTTTTCTGATTATAATCTGTCACTTTTCATACAGGATGAACAATAGCTTCTGATCGAAAATAGATGGTGAAACACTGGAATTTGAAAATCCTGACAGATCTACGTCACACTGTCACTTAACATAGGGGGACCATATTTCCATTTCCAAAAAAGAGGACAGGAGATCTGTGCCTACGGATGACGTCACACTAGGGCTGGGCGACATGGCCTAAAATCAACATCACGATAAATTGAGGATTTAACCTCAATAACGATAAATGGACAATAACTACAGGTATGGATTCTTACTTTTTCACCTCATCTGTTACTTTTGAGCAGATCAAAGGGCATTTCGATGCTGCGTCAGTGAGGTGAAATCACCGCAGCACACGATGAGCGGAGCACGTCAGGAACGATTAAAAGACAGAGTACCAGAGGACATAAACAGATATGAACGATCATGTGTTAATAATGATGTTTTGTTGCACCACCTTGAGAATGTATTGTGCGCCGGACGTGGCGGGCGCACCAACGATCAGCGCTCTGTAGATCTGTCAGAAAGCTCTCACGCCATCACAGGACTTTCTTAAGTCATTCACTGCCATTAACGACTAAAGTCATCATTTTAAATCCAACCGTTCACTGTCATTGCATTTTTTTTACTGTGTGGGCATCGGAACGAGCCCCCGCACCGTGAGAACAAACATCCCAGCTCCAAAGCCCATCTTCATCCGCGTACATCACATGCCACGTGACCGGGAAGCAGAAAATCCGTGTGTTAGATCGTTTTGGGCTGCTGTAAAAAAAAAAAGTGAGGGGCGGACCGGAAAAGCTTCTGCCGATCACAATTTGACAACGGATTATGAAAGAACAGATATCTCTTGAAACGCGTGGATTCTTCCTGATGTAAGAGGTGAGTCTACTCCTTGTTTTGGTAGTTTTGGCGTTGACATCATCCTAGCGTGCAACGTACTGTGCCTCTTAAACAAACAGTAAAAACATTGAGAAACTCTGGCAGCAAAGGGCTTTACCGATCAGGAAACGGCTGGCAGTGAATGAGTTAAGGAAGTGAAACCTCCTCGGCTTGCTACTCAGTCATCAGTTCATTCGTTCCAAGTCACTAACTCAGGACCATTATCTTCTCAACGGACTCAACAAGTACTTTCCCCGTCCTCTCTGTAACACCGTCCCACGCCCAGTCTCTTCTAAGCACTTTGGTGTTAGTAGATATAAACAAAAATAAAAAACTGCATGCCCAAACCTTCCAGCACCAGCATTTCTGCATTTGGATCTTACTGGCATGCCATACTCGAACCCGCTGATCTTATCTGAAGTCTTACGCTCACTCTGACACTCTTCAGTCATAGTTTCAGAGACCGTGGAACTTTATTTCAGACACCTTTATTTTGCTTTTGACAAGGAGGAATTCTATTTAGTAGTAATGAATAATCAGAACAAGTGTTTTTAGTTATATGTTAAAATGACCTGCCATACAGCATTTGAAAGGTAGTGTGTATTTTTTTCATTAAGCTATTGCTTTGCTTTCAGATATTAGTAAATGTAAAAATTCTACATTACACTTTGGAAGACAGTATTTGTCCTTTCAAAGTGACTTAATGATCTTCTCGTTTGCAGAAGAACGCTCCGTGACAAACAGACTGTAGGTGTCTGCTGTGCTGCTCTGCTTATAAAAGGCCATTAGCCAAGGTGTGGAGCTGACAGGTGAAGGCGCCTCCATGGTGCAGGTTCAAGCTGTGATTTACAATCTTTATATTTAACTGGAGAGAGATTAATTATTGCTGGCAAATTGACAGGGCCAGTGAGGTGAGGGAGGTTTCTGACTGACAACGCCATTCCTCACAGCACTTCCCACCGGAGGGCATCGCTCCTGACCTTGAGATGCCAAGCTTGTTGGGCACCCCCGCCTTCTCCTAGAAACACCTTCCTGGCCTTGTCTTTCTGATGGCCCTCCTTTAGGACCGCAACACACCCCGCGCACGTGTGTGTGTGTGTGTGTGTGTGTGTGTGTGTGTGTGTGTGTGTGTGTGTGTGTGTGTGTGTGTGTGTGTGTGTGTGTGTGTGTGTGTGTGTGTGTGTGTGTGTGTGTGTGTGTGTGAAATGCAAATGTCCTAATCCACTTTTTGAGAGCAGACCTCTGTGTTCTCTACTTTTGTTTTAAATGTACCTCTGGGTTCGTATGTAGTTTGTCGTCTCACCTGATACTACAATTCACTTTACATAAAAGTGTCTGCTAACCCAGGGTAATAAAATCTAAACGCCCACAGGTATAGCTGTCTCGTGTCGCTGCAGCTGCACACAGACTGTGATGATAAACAGCTGATCGCTCCCACAGCGACGCAGTGTCAGCTCAGGAACACGGAGCCTCTTGTCTGAACTTTGCACCTTGTTTTTAATGTGATGGGGAAAGACATTATGCTTTTACTAATTAAATAACATTTATTTGTTTAGAGTAAGTATTAGAAGTTTTAATTTACAAAGTTCACTTTAAAAAGTCTCATTAATTAACACTTTAAATTTATGGAAGGAAAAGCATTCATTATTGAAATCTAAAGGCTTTAAAATGACTGACATTAGATGTAAAACCTTATTTAGGTTTCCATAGACGTGTCCTTCTCAAAGCAAAAAAAAAAAATGAAATGATTAAAGACTAAGTAAATGACTTATGTTTGCCACACTGATTTGTGTTAGTTGTGTTGTGTTGTCAGTTACTGACTGTACTGAAAACAAATACCATCAGTTTGGCTGCGCAGTCAGTAAAAAATGATTATAGAAAAATGCATTCATCAGTGTAACCCTTCATCCTCAGCACCAAATCAAAACAACTAAACATTTGAACTCATTTGAAGCAGTGGTGAATATACAGAATCCAAATGAATAATAATAGTGAGTGGATCACATTCATATTTCTTTACATGTATAGATTAGTGAGTTCATGTTTCTAAAAGGTACAGACTAAACCAGGAGTGTCAAAAATGGTTGTGTAAACTTTATTTTCATACTTTACAATGTAGAGTGAAAATAAACGTATCTTTGTGAGCAAGTTTTCTCTGTAATGAGTATAAATAAAACAAAGCTGCGCTCAAGGCTCACACAAGAACGTGAATCACATCCTGAAGTTGGCCGCCACTCAGGATGTGACTTCTAATGTTGATGTTCTGGTGAAAGCTAAAAGATGTAAAGTAAAATGAGTCAAATATACTTTAAGTGCTGCATGAAACTGATCTAGCCATGTGATCTGTAAGCTCTTTGAATCACTAAGGAATGTTTTTTTATTTGTTGAATTATTATTTTTTTTTTTCAAATTTTCAAGTACACTTCAGGTGTTGTACTTGTACTACACTGTCCTCAGGCTCCAGCCTTGTTTTATATTGATTGTATTAAAATAAAGAAAACAATCTGAAGTTTTTTTTTTATTTACCGGTCCGGCCCACTTGGGACTAGATTTCCCACAATGTGGCCCCTGAGCTAAAATGAGTTTGACACCCCTGGACTAAACTGTGCCCTACAAAAGGGTTGAATGTGGTTTCAGATTGACAAGCTAGTGGCCAGCTCCTGCATAAACTGGCTTTCTCACCTTCTTAAAACCACTGAAATTTTTGCAGTTCCTCTGACCTGCTGTGACATTTGGATTCTGGCAGGAATCTTACAGATTTCCTTCGGTAAGCAAGCTCTACTGGAGGTGTTACTCCTAGCTGTTTCTGCTAGAGTTCAAAGATCACCATAGGATTACATATAAGGTGATACAACAAAGTAAAATTCATTAGAAAGTATTTACACGTTATAGTAATGGGAGGGGAGAACAAGAGGTGTTTTCCTCATATTTGTTTTTCTCATTATTCCACATTGTTTTATTCTGCAATGCCAGGTGTCTGCAACGCAACACTTGGTTATAAAAGTTGTACAAAAACAACATTTGTTCTGCCCGTTGGTTCCAATGACTTAAACATTAATGAGGCAATCTGTCTCCGACGCTGTGGCTGGTCAAGGCAAAGCTAAACGATGATGTTTATGGCTGCTCCCATCATGTGCCTGGAACCAGATACTGATACTCGTTTGGAATGGGGCTGAATGTCCCGTCTACCCCATAAACGTGCTGTTTGTCAACTGAAAAATAGCCCAAACATGTAAAATGTGGATAATAATTATTTTACATTTTTTAATAAATTCTATGTAAAATAATTAAGGGTGTCATATTATCACATTAATTGAGAATAATTAATTACAGCTATATTTAGTGTATTTTAATCACGTTAATCTCATTTTTAATCTATAACTTTACTGTTTCTGCAGTACTGGGGGCAAATGGAGACCCATCCAAGATGGTGGCAGGCCACTGCAGCAGTTCCCATAGGCAGACCAGTCCATGGGGCATCTACATATACACTCAACAAAAATATAAACGCAACACCTTTGTTTCTGCTCCGATTTTTCATGAGATGGACTTAAAGATCTAAAATTCATTCCAGATACACAACATTACCATTTCTTTCAAACATTGTTCACAAGTTAGTCTAAATGTGTGATACTGAGCACCTGTGCTTTGCTGAGATAATCCATCCCACCTCACAGGTCTGCCACATCAAGATGCTGATCCAACATCATGAGTAGTGCACAGGTGTACCTTATACTGCCCACAATAAAAGGCCACCCTGGACTGTGCAGTTTTTTGCTTTATTGGGGGTCTGGGGACTCAGAACCGGTCAGTATCTGGTGTGACCACCATTTGCCTCATGCAGTGCAACACATCTTCTTCACATAGAGTTTATCAGATTGTCAATTGTGGCCTGTGGAATGTTGGTCCACTCCTCTTCAATGGCTGTGCGAAGTTGTTGGATATTAGTGGGAACTGGTACACGCTGTCGTATACGCCGGTCAAGCACATCCTAAACATGCTCAACGGGTGACATGTCTGGTGAGTATGCTGGCCATGCAAGAACTGGGACATTTTCAGCTTCCAAGAATTGTGTACAGATCCTTGCAACATGGGGCCCTGCATTATCTTGATGAAACATGAGGTGATGTTCATGGATGTATGGCACAACAATGGGCCTCAGGATCTCATCACGGTATGTCTGTGCATTCAAAATGCCATCAATAAAATGCACTTGTGTTCTTCATCCATTACAGATGCCTGCCCATACCATAACCCCACCACCACCATGGGCCACTCGATCCACAACATTGACATCAGCAAAGCGCTCACCCACACGACGCCACGCACGCTGTCTGCCATCTGCCCTGAACAATGTAAACCGAGATTCATCCGTGAAGAGAACACCTCTCCAGCGTGCCAGATGCAATCGAATGTGTGCATTTGCCCACTCAAGTCTAATACGGCGACGAGCTGGAGTCAGGTCAAGACCCCGATGAGGATGACGAGCATGCAGTTGAGCTTCCCTGAGACGGTTTCTGACAGTTTGTGCAGAAATTGTTTGGTTATGTTTGGTTGTTTTGTTTCAGCAGCTGTTTGAGTGGCTGGTCTCAGACGATCTTGAAGGTGAACCTGCTGGATGTGGAGGTCCTGGGTTGGTGTGGTTACATGTCGTCTGCGGTTGTGAGGCTAGTTGGATGTAGTGCCATATTCTCTGAAACACCTTTGGAGATGGCTTATGGTGGAGAAATGAACATTCAATGCACGAGCAACAGATCTGGTTGACATTCCTGCTGTCAGCATGCCAAGTGCACGCTCCCTCAATGCTTGTGGCATCTGTGGCATTTTGCTGTGAGACAACACTGCACATTCCAGGGTGGCCTTTAATTGTGGGCAGTATAAGGTACACCTGTGCACTACTCATGATGTCGGATCAGCATCTTGATGTGGCACACCTGTGAGGTGGGATGGATTAGCTCAGCAAAGCAGAGTGCTCACTATCACACATTTAGACTGATTTGTGAACAATGTTTGAGAGAAATGGTAATATTGTGTATCTGGAATGAATTTTAGATCTTTAGGTCCATCTCATGAAAAATCGGAGCAGAAACAAAGGTGTTGCGTTTATATTTTTGTTGAGTGTATGATGTGTGTGATTAACCACACCCTGAAGTGTGGCTGCTAACTGACTTCCTGTGACTGCAAGGTGACCAGCAGCGGTTAGCTTAGCACCGAAGCAGCTCAAGCTAGCACATAAACACAAAGTACCCAGCTGTGGGCTCAACCATGGCAACTTGGTAAGCCATAACAAAACACTTCGTCAAACGAAACTCGAGGAGAACTTTTTGTGAATGAGCAAGTCAGCGAGCGACAGGCGGATGAATGTTCTTGCCAAGTGCATGGCGATGAACTACAGGCCGATAAACATAGTGGAAGGTGAGGGGTTAACAGAGGTGTTGCAGACTGCGTCCAATGACCCATGTTACAAGCCACCGTGCAGGACAACAGTAAGTAACCAAATCAGCCAGATGCATGAAAGCAAAAAGAAAATTAAACTTGAGATTTTCGTAAAAGATTCACCCAGCTGTGTTGCTATAACCAGAGATCACTGAACCTCAGCTGGAAACCACAGCTATTTGGGGGTTACAGGACAATTTGTTACTGGCGAATGGAATCTGATCTTATTTGCACTGATAGTCATGAAAACCAAAACCAGACACTTTGCTGATAAACGTGCCAAACGGCTCCTCAAGGTGGCAGATGATGGGATTTGAAAATAAGATATCCATCAATCAGCACAGACAGTGCAGCAAACATGCGTGCTGCAATTAGAACCCTTCCAATACGAGCACATCATCTGCAATACTCATGTTCTCCAGAGGACCATCACTGTATGCCTTGAAAGCAGTGGGTTTGGTGGCGTGCTAAGTGCTGCAAGATTGTTCATTGTACATTTTAAACAAAGTACGGCAAGTACCTAAGAACTTAACCAGCGACAAATAGCACTTGGAGAACTATGCAAACAATTTCTGGAGAGGAGGGTCCGATCGATAGTTGAATCTCAGATAGAGGAGGAGCAATATGGTTTTCGTCCTGGCCGTGGAACTGTGGACCAGCTCTATACCCTTGCAAGGGTGATGGAGGGGGCATGGGAGTTTGCCCAACCAATCCACATGTGCTTTGTGGATTTGGAGAAGGCTTATGACCATGTCCCCAGGGGCACCCTGTGGGGGACGCTCCAGGAGTATGGGGTGGGTGGCTTTCTGTTAAGGGCCATTCAGTCCCTTTACCAGAGGAGCGTGAGTTTGGTCCGCATAGCCGGTAGTAAGTCGGACCTGTTCCCAGTGAGGGTTGGACTCCGCCAGGGCTGCCCTTTGTCACCGGTTCTGTTCATCACTTTTATGGACAGAATTTCTAGACGCAGCCGTGGTGTGGAGTGTGTCGAGTTTGGTGGCAGGAGAATCTCGTCTCTGCTTTTTGCGGATGATGTGGTCCTCCTAGCTTCATCCAGCTCTGACCTTCAGCTCTTGCTGGGTAGGTTCGCGGCCGAATGTGAAGCGGCTGGGATGAGGATCAGCACCTCCAAATCTGAGACCATGGTTCTCGACCGGAAAAGGGTGGCTTGCCACCTCCGGGTCGGGGGAGAGGTCCTACCTCAAGTGGAGGAGTTTAAGTATCTCGGGGTCTTGTTCACGAGTGAGGGTAGGAGGGATCGGGAGATCGACAGGCGGATTGGTTCGGCGTCTGCAGTGATGCGGACGCTGAGCCGATCTGTCGTGGGGAAGAGGGAGCTGAGCCAGAAAGCCAGGCTCTCGATTTACCGGTCGATCTACGTCCCAATCCTCACCTATGGTCATGAGCTTTGGGTAATGACCGAAAGAACGAGATCGCGGATACAAGCGGCCGAAATGAGTTTCCTCCGTAGGGTGGCCGGGCTCAGCCTTAGAGATAGGGTGAGGAGCTCGGACATTCGGGAGGGACTCGGAGTAGAACCGCTGCTCCTCCGGATCGAAAGGAGCCAGTTGAGGTGGTTTGGGCATCTGGTCAGGATGCCTCCTGGACGCCTCCCCGGGGAGGTGTTTCGGGCATGTCCTGCCG